CAAAACCAAATTATTAATCTGAAATAAAAAAATATTAATTTACAGATGTAAGAAGACTTTTTTTAAATCGATTTAAAACTGACAGAGTTATGAGGTGACAAATAATTAAAAATAAAAATACAACCGAATTGAAGATCTCATCATTTTTCGAAGTCGGTTAATAAGTTTATTTCTTTATTAATATATTTTTATTTTATTTTATTAAAATTAAGTTATTATTGAAAAAAAAATCGCGTAGTGTGTATCGGTGACAGCACACATTTTTTTTAAAGTCGGTTGATAAGTTTATTCCTTTATTTTATTTATCATTTTTATTTTATTTTATTAAAATCAACTTATTAATAAAAAATAAATAAAATAAAATCGCCTAGTGTGTATCGATGATAGCACACACAGAGAATGTGTACGCTTTTCAAATAGTCCCAATGGTGTATTTTAATTATTTCCAACTTTAAACACAACGCGGCAAGGTTTATATTAGTTTGCACTATATTTTTATTATTACATGAAACAGATAATGCACGTTCAAACATAGAATTAGTTTCGCATGAATTCATTTTTTTAATTAAAAAAAATTAACAATTATTATAATAATATTATAAAAATGAAAGCTTTTATGTATGTTTGGATATGGTGTTGCAGGTGACTCAGGACGGTTCTTTATGGCAGTCTATTGGGGAGGCCTATGTCAGCAGAGGACAGATAATGGCTGAAATATTGGAATAACACCTGAGTGCTCAGGTGTTATTCCAATCCAACGCACGGGGGGTATCATGGGCGAAACAGTATACTCTGTTATGTCCATGGTACTGCTCATGTCTATAGGTGACGGTTACCACTTTCCATCAGGTGGGCCGTCAGCTTGTTTGCCATTCTAAGTTGTATAAAAAAAATATTTGTGTATTTGTTGTTTAATCACGATTAAATGGCTTAACTGATTTGAATAAGATTTATAACATTGATAGATTTAAATTTTAGATAAATTGTGAAATAATAACAAAATATTAATTGATTTTTGAATATTTTACTGATTTAGGTGGAAATAGTGGACATAGTGGACGGAAGAGTGGTCGGAGATCGATGGCCAATATGGAAGGTTGTGGTACTTCTGGCAGTAACAGTGGTGGTCAGTCTTCGAGTGTTGGCAGTCGCACACATACTAATGGTGGCGGAATTAAACGAAATATTTAGAATCAAATAACCAGTGGTATGGACTTCATCAAGACAACACCAAGTGCAACAGAAAATTTATTACTTGTTAATGCCACTTTCTCCCACGCACAACCACTCTTTGGAATCAACTCCCAGCAGCAGTATTTCCGAACCGATACGACATCGTAACTTTCAAGAAAAGAGTATATTCCCTTTTAAAAGGCCGGCAGCACACCTGCAATGCCGTAGGTGTTGTGGGTGATCATGGGCGACGGTAGTCACTTACCACTAGGTGAGCCGCATGCTCGTTTGCCCCTTATGTTGTAAAACAAAAAAAAAAATAGAAGAAAGGAGGGAAAGGGGGAGACCGAGGCATAGTTACAGCAGGCAGATCAAGGAAGCAGTTGGTGTCGTGTCGTATCAAGAGGTGAAGGGACTCGCTGACAATCGTAGTGAGTGGCAAGAGCTCCACCGACAAGAGAGCAGCTCTTAAATAGGATAGATAGATATAATATAGAAGAATATATTTACTTATATATAAAATTATATGTTACTCAACAGTTACTATATCTCATAATGCTTATCGTTGTTATGATATATAAATAAATAAATAAATAAATATATATATATATATATATATATATATATATATATATATATATATATATATATATATATATATATATATATTTGCCCTCTGCGTTGTAAAAAAAATATATATGACTATGCTGTCACAGATATTATTTTTTACAAATCTATTTTTTTAACGCGCCACCTACCTACTTATGCTTTAATTCGTTCTACCCAAAGGTTGTCTGGAAGAGATTGCTTAGCAATAAGACCGCCTTTTGTACTACACTATACGTATTGAAAATTGTTCAACAAATCCTGTTATGTTGGTGCAATAAAGGGTTAAATAAATAAATAATAAAAATAAAATATGAATAAAATAAATAAATATTTATTATAAATTGTGCATATAATTAAATATAAAATAAAAAATGTCGTTAATAACTGTATTTATTTAATGTACAAGCAACCGACTGTGTACGCGTTCTAAACAGCAATTTCAAGCAAATGGATACGACACGGGGCGAGTACACACGGGGCGAATATTAACATATATTATTATTTAAATTTTTACAAAATTCTCTAGCTTTTTTTAACTACGACTACTTAGTCTATGGTATGTCCGTCTCCTTCTCCTTCTTATGAGCATTTGTTCCATTCGTGTTTCAGTCGTGATGCAGTTGTGTTTGCATTGGTTATGTTTCGGTTTGAAGGGTGGGATATGGCAGAGAAATTACACGGTACAGAGGAATAACACCTGAGTCCTCAGGAATGGCAACGTATGGGTGGTATCATGGGCGAAACAGTATACTCTGTTATGTCCACGGTACTGCTCATGTCTATAGGCAACGGTTACCACTTTCCATCAGGTGGGCCGTCAGCTTGTTTGCCATTCTAAGTTGCATAAAAAAAAAATAGTACGTTAAGGCGCTTTAAAGTAACAAACAAACACACTTGCACATTTACAATATTATTGGGTATTTTCTTTTTTTTTTTTATTTACTTAATTATTTTTATCTTTACTAATATTAAAAATGTGAAACTGTGTTTGTTTATTCATTTGTAACCTATTAACAACTTGACAAATTACTATTAAAATTGTTATATGTACACGTAAAAACTAGTTTTCTTTTTTTTTTAATGAACGATAATGGAATGGTAACCCCACCCGCGCTATCGGTATACACCGGCGGGACACCAGTGAGGGATGATAGGTGAGGATGAAGCAGGTCAGTTAGCCCATCGTGACGAATTCAACAAGAATTGTTCACGATGGTTCCCAGGGGGAACCACGTGGAGGTCGACCCAATAGGGCATTTTGCTAGCAATGGGGCTGTCAAAATCCATTGCTAACAATCCCTTTCCCCCCGTAAAAACTTGTTAGATAAAAACTAGCAATTGCCTGCTACGAATTGAGAAAAATAGCAACTGATAGTGTATCTTTCGTCCTCTTTTTACTAATTATATTTGCATAAGAAGAAAGGAGACAACCATATGATTCACAGTTTTTATTTTATCATACCTTCTACGTAAGTGCTTGTTAGTTGCATATTTATTTACGGTGACGAGTTATCACGCAGTGTGTTCCCACTGCCCAAATGAATGTGCACACAGCTGAGCCATACGGGGCGAATGTTTTATTATAATCATAGGAATATACCATAGACAACGTGTATTTTTTTTTTTTTTATATTTTATATTTTTTTTTTTTTTTATTTTAAACACAGGTAACGTGCCTGGGTATATATTTTTAACAAGATTGTTCTGTGCTAAGCAATGTTAGTGTAAAATATATGTGTAGAATAGAGGCCACGTATATTGTTTCTAGTTTTTATATTATTATTTGCCAAATTCCAAATTGACTCGCATCTATATTGTTTGCTTCTGGCTTGTCTTCACGACTCTGGTCTTCTAAGTTCCATTGACCAATATATGTATTGTACATATATAAATTTTCAATTTCTATTCCTGGTTTCCTTTGTCGACCGCAATTTGTATAGTTTTGATTATTTATGTTATTTTATATTATTCACGCCCCAGCTTCGCACAGGTAGATAGAATATATATATATAAATATTAGCCAGCCGTATGCAACAAATTTAAAAATGAAATGTCGATTTCAAAGTGTACGTAAACAAGTATATTTGAACAAAGATGGTTTGGACTTGATAACGACTCTATCAGTGGATTAGATTGTGTTCTGTCCAGAAAGAAAGGTTTGTTTTATTGTTTAAAACACTTCAAAATGTCTTAATTCTATGATTTTTTTTAATAAATAAACTTTAATATATATATATATATATATATATATATATATATATATATATATATATATATATATATATATATATATATATATATATATATATATATATATATATATATATATATATATGTAAACATTAGTTTATATAGAGGCATCGTGCCTCAAAAACGAGTCAACTGTTTGTCAGCTAATTGTCAAGTTGGCTGACTCGTTTCCTTATCAGCGTTCTATATACTTACGCACACAATGCACCTTGACGTATCTATATTTAATTGTTTAATAAATAAAATGACTGTTTACGCATTAAAAAGACGCAGAAATTATAAAACAAAACAAATATACAAGTTATAAAGGAATCGCTCGTAACTATTTATCACGCAAAACTGTATGAAAAAGTCGAGCCATTTTTCTCGAAGCATTTGTATGGAGACACTCTGTATATATAATATAAGATGTAAATAAACGATTACGCAGTAGATTTAGGTTACTCATGTTCGCACAATAAATATTTAAAATGGAGCAATGAATTATAATTAAGTTAAACACATTACAACTTTTCTTTAATATCGGTTAAAAGTGGACGTAAACGGGAATTCATTGAAATATATTCTCGTGAAAACTGAACAGCGACATCCCTGGAGACGGAGCTCGTCGGTGTAATAAAAAAATTAATATGCAATGAAAAATTGGACACGAATCCTATAAAAAAGCGACTTCAATTATGTCCAAATCAGTATTTTGATTTAAAAACTATACTAATGAATTGATTTTATTAAAATCTGTAAGTATATATATTCTTTCAGTTAAAAAAAGAATTTTTCAAATCTGTTTATAAACAAACAAACAAAAAATTGTAACCGAATCGAGAACTTTCTTTTTTGGATGTCGGTTAAAAATACCCCAATCCAACTCTGCAATGGAGGAGGAAAGGGATTGTTAGTAATGGAGACTGAGAATCCCATTGCTAGCAATATACCCAACCAGGTCGACCTCCACGCGGTTCACCCTGGAAACTATCACGGTTAACCCCTGATGAATTCATCATGATGGGCTAACTGGCCTGTTTTCATTCTCATCTATCACCCTTCACTGGTGCTCCGCCAGCGTATCCCGTTAGCGCAGGCGGGGTTACCATACCATTTTCACCCATAAAAAAAAAACTCTGCAATGGAGTCCGGTAGATACCATCATCATCCTATCAACCATTAACTGTTCACTGCTGGACATAGGACTCTCCCATAAAATGGGTGTTTGCCAGTTATTACCACGCCTGACAGGTTTAGCAACCACAGTTAAACTTTACAAAATGTTTTAGCAGGGACGCTGTTGTCCATCCCTCGCCGTCCCTTAGCCGCCTCTTACGACACCCACGGGAAGGAAAATGTGACCCATTCGATGCCGGGACCACACGGTAAGTAGGTATATAGGTAACATAAAAATTTATGATATATATAACATAATGTATAATTAAATTAAAAATTGAATAAACGTATCACAGTGTCAGCAGAGGTTACACGTGGAAACTTATTTCGCTGACGCTGCAACCTACTGTTCAATTAATTACTTAATAAAGTTCATTTATAATTACTTAATATTATAGTTTCAATTCATTTTTGTATGATTAATAATGATGTTAAACAAAATAAACAACAATTTGTTCTTGTTTTGTGCGCTACTGTGTGGGCCGCATGCTTCTTTGTTTAAATTATTTCTTTCTTTCTTTCTTTCATTTAATTGTTGTTTATTTTGTTTAATGTAAAACGAAATTATTGCATGACAAATCTATTTGAAAACTAACAATTATATGTAATTAGGTAGGTATTATATGTATTTTTTTTTGATGGGCGAAAATGGTATTGCGCTAACGGGATACGCTGGCGGAGCACCAGTGAAGGGTGATAGATGAGAATGAAAACAGCCCAGTTAGCCTATCATGATAAATTCATCGGGAATTAACCATGATAGTTTCCAGAACCGCGAGGAAGTCGCCCTGGTTGGGTATATTGCTAGCAATGGGATTCTCAGTCTCCATTACTAATAATCCTTTTCCCCGCATTATATGTATTTATAGTGTATGTATTTGTGTAATATTTTATTATATATTTTAAAATTTTTATTTAACTGTATATTTGTATATGTATTAATAGTTGTAGCACTTCAGCTGCCCGCTAACGAAATGCTTTCCAACTGTACTGGGTTGACTGGAAGAGATCTCTGTCAGAGATAAGTCCACGCTTGCTCACAACATTTACAAATACATTATTTTGTATGTAACTTAAAGGTGCAATAAAGAATATAATATATAAAATAATGAAATGTAATTTGACATTTCAATTGACATAGCCATCGACAGGGAGTTCACCCTCATACCCTATAGCCTCCATGGTCGCGTACAACGCGGTTTCAGAGATGTTTCCTCCCACGAACACTCAGGTTATGGAATGAGCTCCCTGCCGAGGTTTTCCCAAGAGACTACAACATGGGGTTCTTCAAAAGGGGGGTAAAGAGGTTTCTTCAGGGTCGGCGACGCGCGCGTTATACCTCTGGTATTACAGGCGTTCATAGGCTACGGTAACCACTTACCATTAAGTGGGTCGTATTCTTATTTTTTTTTTTTTACAACACAGGGGGCAAACTAGCACGCGGCTCACCTGATGGTAAGTGACTACCGCCGCCCATGATCACCCACAACACCAACGGCATTGCAGGTGTGCTGCCGGCCTTTTAAAAAGGAATATGCTCTTTTCTTGAAGGTTACGATGTCGTATCGGTTCGGAAATATTGCAGCTGGAAGTTGATTCCAAAGAATTATTGCATGGGTTCTGTGAGAATAGGCCACCCCTTCCTTTCCCGTGGGTGTCGTAAGAGGTGATTTAGGGACAGCGAGCGATGGGCAGCGGCGTCCCTTTTAAAACATCTCCAAAGCCTAACTACAGTTGCCAAGCGTGGCAACTACTGGCAGGACCACTCAAGGGGGTGGCTTATGTCCAGCAGTGGACAGTTAAAGGCTGACATGACGATAATGGGTACTGTAACTGTAATTAGATTCGAGTTTTATTTATATGTATTTTTTTAAACGTGTTTTTTTCTTTGGGGAAAACTATTATATTTTAGATTTTATTACAGTAACCGGATAAAAATAAGCGAGCAACTCTACGGATTTCCCAATTCGCACCATCCTTTTCCTCAGAAAGCCTGCGCGACAAAAGTTTTAATTATATCCCCGTCTCTTTCCCACACACGCGACCACAATGTCGCCCTCTCCTTCACCGGTTACGTGCGCCATCTCTGTCGCGCTCGTGCAGAAAACATCATTCCGTTTCATTCGAAAAATCGTGATCCGGTGTTTTTGAACCTGTACTTTACTATATGTTAATTTCGCAGCTTTGCTTGCATAATATATTATATTATATTTATTTAGTATGTATTTTATTCCGCCATGACTTTATCCACTCAAACGATCACCGGAATCTACATCTAATGTTTGTAACTAAGTATGTATTTTTTTTTCCGATGTATGTAAATTGTATGATCATTTCCAAAAATAGGAAAATCAATCAAATGGACCGCTTCCAGATGGCGTATCAAGATAAAACATACAATGCCTCTTAAGTTAGATTTCCATTAACACATTGTGATAACTGCATCTAATTTGGTGCAGCAATTTTTACATGTTATTGGAACCATTTACTTCTGAAAACCACACATAAAAATTTGCGGACGAAAAAATATTAATAAATAAATTAAAAATATAACATAAATATATTTATATGTATTATATTTTTAATTCGCGTAAAATCCATTTTAACTTTATTTAAAAAGTTATTTTTTATTAGTAAAATAAGAAAAATTAATTAAACCGAAACAAACTCGTGCGGTACAACCCTATGCCGTCGCCATTTTGGATAACGTAACCTATGAATATTGATAACAAATAAATATTTGTCTATGCAAATAAGGTATTTATCTGTATTCCAAGTTTAAAATTCGAAATATGTAATAGCTAAAGGACTGGCATCCTAGCCAAACCCTAAATAAAAAAAAAAAGAATTCTATGTTACCTAGTAATTATAAAGAACTCTCTTTCCGCATTTAATACAATTAGTAAACGATATTTGTCTTTTAACTAAATATGGCCACTTAGAAAAATAAAAAAAAAACATACATAATTAATAGTTTAGTCAACATAATATCACATTTAGATGTCGTTGTTGGTACTTGAACGTTTTGTTTTTAAGCCATTTTAGTTTTACACGTACATTGAAATATTACCCTTATTCACTTAACAATAAAGTACACTATAGTATCAGATGCCGAAACAAAATATATTTGCTATTTATCTGTTTAAGAATAAGGTCGAATATTGAATGACAAATTTCATTATTGGCGGCTACAGATGGGCAAAGCACCGGGTTTAAACCCGGTGCTTTGGTAAAAACCCAATAAACACCCATAAACTCCCATAATCACCCAAAAAAATAGGTTTTTACGTATTTTTTTGAAAATATGTAAGTAATACCAATAAATTATTTTTATAAATTGTATTGATCAATTCTACAATATTAAATAAAACGTTAACTAATAATATTTCAGGAAATTTTAAAAATCTATATATAATAAAATGAAAGTAATTAATTTTCAGTGTTTTCATGTTGCAGTTGATCAACATGTTGGCCTTTTGCTTCCCGTAGATACTTTAAAATTTCTTCATAACACCTCGTTCGCACACATGGCCGTATATATTTAAATTCTTGAGCCACTAACAGTCCGAAATACTCATTTCTTTTATCCTCTTCTCCATAAATTAAGCATTTAGAACAGTTTGTTTCTTCTTTCAGTAAATTTTCTTTTACTTTATCCTCGTTTTTTTTCTTGGTTGCGACGACGCTGGGTAAATCATCTGGACACTGGGTCTCACTATCGCCAAATATATTTGGAGATCGGCTTCGGCTACGGCTTGGCAGACATTTTTTTCTTTCTACAATTTTAAATTAAATTTATTAGAATAAATGCTTCGAACACACGCGATCTAAGTACCTTTTGTGTTTATTATACCTTACCTACCTAGGTATAAAAAGAGTACTTACGTAGATTTTCTTTTATTAACTGTTTTATACGAAGATCTTGATCTCTCAAATTAGCATCCATTTTACTTCCAGTGATTATCAACTAAATTAATAATCCACAAAGTATTAAATAACGTTTTTATGAAATATTTAGCACAAAAACAATACCCTTTAAATATCGATCGTCAGTAACTGTGGCTGACTTACCTATATTCTAGCAAGCAGGACTGCCAGATGTGAAGGGGAAATCCCCAATAAATTGTTGCATGTGACTGATGATGTGAGCATGTTCGTTTCATAATAAAAATGTTGCCAGGTAACCAAAAAGTCGTATGTTTTTGTGCGAATTACGATCATAATCTTTACGATCGTACATTAAAAAATAGACAAATAATAGTATGAGTACGATTTAAATCGTATATCTGTCAACCCTGCTAGCAAGACAGCGACAAAATCACGTTGCATAACAATGTAGCCCAAGCTTATATCTTATGAAATATACGGAAGAGATACGGACTTAGAAAAAACAGAAATGTTGTTCTTTGTGGAAGTCATTGATGAAATTCTATGTATTTTAGCCCGCAAACTTTCTTCAAACAAAAACAGCGCCATCTAGTATCGAGTTCTGTAATTATCTCTTTGTTTATGGATTTGAAGTAAGACCGCCACGCATGCAATACATTATGACTGGGGATTCCCCTATTCGTCGACGCTGAATATGAGGCGACGACAATCACTGTCAAACGTGTTCACTATTACTCTGACTCTGGTAACGTGACTTCCTGGTAACGTGTTAGGTAGGAAAAGCAGTAAAAAAGTGCATATTAAGGGAGCAGATTTGAAATAATATTTATACTTAACAAGAAATAATTAAAGGTAAGTGGATTTTTGAATGATACAATTATATCATGATCACTTAACAATTTTAACTTAAAATTAGATGTATTATTACAAGCTTTTATTTAGCTTGCGTTATGTAAATAAAAGTATGTAGGTATGTTCGTATGTTGATGCAATTATCCTCAATCCTCAACCGACTGGGATAAAATTTTCCATACACGTTTATTTTGGATGATAGTGCATAGTTAGCTGAGAGTCGTCATTGGATAATAATGGTGGATAGCCTAAGATGTGTACTAGATATTTATTTTTAACATAATATGCGTAAGTACCTAATCGAATTAAAGAAGTTGCTGAGAAAAATACAGAACAATACGATAATAAACTAGCGTCTGCGTTTAATCCTCCGAGGAGATGTAATTTTACAAAGGTTTTTTGTATTTATTTTATTATTTTTTTAATAAATTTATTGTAAATAACAAGAAATAATCATTGTAAAAAAATAGGCACTCTATTGTTGAATTTTCGTCAGACCAACTAATCATCGTTCATTTTTTTAGGTTCAATGGGGAGACCTAAAGATTTACGCATATGGGAGCACTACCGTACTTTACCAAACAAGTCTGTTTCTTGCAAGCTTTGTAATAAGGTCTACAAATTCAGTAATGCTGCCAAAATGCTTCAACATCTTATCACTTGTCCAAAATCTCCAGAAACATTAAAAGACTCTATGAAACTTATAAAAGATAGCTCGTCCAAAACCAAAATGTCTGGACTGTCAGAGATAGAGACAAATGATTCTTTTATAAGCCCCTCGTCGTCTGCTAACACTACAATAAATGCTGAGTTTCAAGACACCGATGATCATATAAAAACAGAATTAGCGAGAGCTATATTTGTAACAGGGACGCCATTATCGATGGTGCAACATCCTTTATGGATACAATTTTTCGAAAAATTGCAACCAAAATTTAAAATACCTTCACGTAAAGCTTTAGCGACAAAATACTTAGATAAAATATATAGAGAAATGCGTTTTGAGTTAAATGAGGAACTAAATGCTTGTAGTTACTTACACCTTCAGTGCGATGGCTGGTCTAATTTAAGAAATGAAGGAATAATAAACTTTCTTATATCAAAACCTCAACCTGCATACGTTAAAAGTTTGAATACAGAAAGTAATCCTCACACTAGTGAATACCTTAGCCAAGAAGTTGAAAAAGTAATGAAAGTGTATGGAGCAAATAAGTTTCTTGTACTTATTGGCGATAACGCTAGAAATATACAAAAGGCATTCGAATTAACAAAACTCAAATATCCACATGTTGTTCCTCTCGGTTGCTGTGCACATATCCTTAACTTGTTGTGCCAAGATATTGTAAAGATACAAGAAGTAACTGTGTTTATTATGCAAGCCATAAATATAATAAAAACTGTTAAAAGGAGTCAACGATTAAGTTCCTTGTTGATAAAATCAAGGCAGGGTGAAGATTCTACACAAACACTAAAATTGCCTTGTGCTACAAGATGGGGAAGTCATGTTACTTCGTTAAAAAGTTTGAAAGCAAATAAGATAGCTTTGCAAATATTAACAGTTAGAGAAGATGTGGTAATTTCAAGAGATATTAAAGATTTAATTCTAAGTGATGATTTCTGGACGAAGACAGGGGAATGTATAAGTATTTTGGAACCAGTCACTGAAAGCATATTTTACTTAGAGAGCGACCAGAATCGTTTGCATCGCACATACATTACATTTAGAGATGTACAAGCTAAGATACGTTTTGCATTAAATGAGATTTCGACATTGAGCGAAGAAAGCAAACAGCAGATTCTAACATCAGTATCTTCAAGATGCAATATGGCAATGAGGCCAATACATTTTGCAGCATATATTCTAGACCCCAGGACTCTAGGAGTCGAACTTACTCAAGAGGAAGAACTTAAGGGTATGGAGTTTATCTACAATTTAAGCCAACACTTAAGTTTGTCAAATGTAATGGCAGATTTGGCGTGTTATAAAGCTAAAGAAAACTTTTGGGCCAGAGGATTTGTATGGAGCTCATTAGATAGCATTGAGCCCCTAATATGGTGGAAAGGTATTTGTGGTTCCACTGAGTTAAGCAAAGTAGCGATTCGTATTCTATCAGCTCCCTGTACTTCGGCAGCCACTGAGCGTTCCTTTAGTATCCAAGGCTACATACATAATAACAAAAGAAATCGACTTACAACTGAAAGAACTGAAAAAATTTCATTCATTTGTTATAACTGGAATCTTAAACATAAAGCTGAATGCGAGGACATTCAGTTTAATGAAGAAAATACCTTAGAAGCTTTCATTGAGCAAGTAAATGAACATAACAGTTTAGACGAAATAGAGCCTATCGAACCTATACAATTCATCGCTTGTAATAACTCTGAATCTGACAGTGATTGACTGTAGTTTTACATTTTACTTTCATCTCTTTCTTAATAAACTCAAAATCAAATTAAAAGTTTTTTATTCTGTAGGCTGCATAATAATATTGTCTATGTCCAGTATAGTGGACGTCTTGCGGCTGAGATGACGATGATGAAGTACAAAATCATAAACACCCAAAAATTTGGGTGTTTATGGGGTTTAAACCCAATAAACCCAAAACACCCGGTTTTTACCCACCAGACTTTAAACCCACCCAGGTGGATTGCCCATCTCTATTGGCGGCAAAATGGAGTAGGTAACACTCGCGCCACAGATATAGGTAAAAATAGATACATTATGACACTGTTTATTACAAATAAAAATATTTAAAAAGAAAATATTTTGTTACTTTCTGAAATATTTTTTTACTTTTGTTTCTTGCGTTTTTAATAATATATTAGATGCTAATTGGGCTTAAAATTCTTACAGAAAGCTGCATTATCAGATATTATTATGAGCTGTATTTCTTCAAGAAACCATTCGAGTTCGTTGATAAGTAGTATTGCCAGGTCCGATTTGTTCTAAATGGGTACATGAGGTCAAAAAAATCGAGATATAGGGTTGCATATATTGTGTTTTTTTTTTTGATGGGTGAAAATGTTATGGTAACCCCGCCTGCGGTAACGAGATACGCCGGTGATAGATGAGAATGAAAACAGGCCAGTTAGCCCATCATAATGAATTCATCAGAAATTAATTATGATAGTTTCTAGGGGGAACCGCTAGGAGGTCGACCTGGTTGGGTATATTGCTAGCAATGGGATTCTTAGTCTCCATTAATAATCCCTTTCCTCCACGCCAATAGGGTCAGACCTATGATTAGCAATGGATAGTTGACGTTTAATATAATATTTTTTTTCTATATCAAAGTGCAACAAATAAAATGCCTAATTGACTCATTTTATACGTTCTACATAATATTTATGTAGATTTAGACGGTGACACAGTTTCATTTCATAATAAGACGCAGTGCCTACTTGCCCTGTCTAAATATGTGTACGTCTGTGTAAATCCATATTTGTGACGTGACACATTCAGTGTTTGGATGTGCGAGTGTGTGTGTGTGTTGTGTAAAACCGGTATCTTCCAATATCACGTGGAACTATTAGGTACTTACACTAAAATGGCTACTTCTGTTAATCATACGTATTTTTATTTTATTGATTTATTTACATTATATTTAAATAAATACACATAATGTTAACAGAGATATAAAAGAGCAACTGTTGTGATTCTCGCGGACTCTTCTCTACGAATTTCCGGAAAATTTTCGACCCCTCCATTCGTAACGAGTGACGATTTTTTTTTTTTATTTATTTAAATAACTTTTTTGACTAAATGAGGATGTGGTACAAAAGGCAGACTTGTGCTAGTAGGATTTTTTTTTTAATGAATGATAATGGAATGGTTACCCCATCCGCGCTATCGGTATACACCGGCGGGACACCAGTGAAGGATGATAGGTGAGGATGAAGCAGGTCAGTTAGCCCATCGTGACGAATTCAACAAGAATTGTTCACGATGGTTTCCAGGGGGAACGAAGTGGAGGTCGACCTAATAAGGCATATTGCTAGCAATGGGGCTGTCAAACTCCATTGCTAACAATCCCTTTCCCCCCTGTGCTAGTAGCAGTCTCCACCAGTCAACCTTTGAGATAATTTAAATGTGCTTGTAAATATATATATTTAACTCTGGTCTTTGTAATATATAGGGGGAATGAGATTGTTAGTAATGGAGACTGAGAATCCCATTGCTAGCAATATACCCAACCAGGTTGACCTCCACGCGGTTCCCCCTGGAAACTATCATGGTTAATTCCCCATAAATTCATCATGATGTGCTAACTGGCCTGTTTTCATTCTCATCTATCACCCTTCACTGGTGCTCCGCCACAAAAAAAAAAATATATATATATATATATATATATATATATATATATATATATATATATATTATATTATATTTTTAATTTGTATTATTATTATTATATTTAATATCTCATTACAACATGAAATCACATATTTATACGTGATAAGTAAAATCGTTATCTCAACACATACATACATACCGTCATTTGAGCTGTGCGTGTCTGTACAGGAGGGCGCCTGTGTGCGCGAGTAGGTAGGTACGGAGGGCATCCGAGAATTAGACATTACTCGTAAACTGGCAAGTTATTTGCTTTAGCCCGACTTTACGTGGTTTTTTTAATGGATGGTAACCCCGTCTGCGCTATCGGTATACGCTGGCAGTGTACCAGGGAAACATGATAGGTGAGGATGTAAAGGCAGGTCAGTTAGCCCATCGTACTTCGACAAATTTACTAATGAATCAATCACGATGGTTTCCAGGGGGAATCGCGTGGAGGTCGACCTGGTTGGGTATATTGCTAGCAATGGGATTCTCAGTCTCCATTACTGAAAATCGGAAAGGGAAACTTTAAAATATATATATATATATATATATATTTTAAAGTTTTCGATCTGATACAGCTTAGTTGTTTGTATTCATACAAATTCATTACTTATATAATTAAACTTTTTGGAAACAAGCAACAGCCGAGTTTCTTGCCCGTTCCTCTTGGCTGAAATCATTCTCACCTATCATGTGTCCCTGGTACCTCGCCAGCGTACACCGACAGCGCAGACGGAGTTGCCATTTCATCATCACCCATTAAAAGACTAAAGGCAGTAACCGTTCACGAGTATGACGGGTGAGGCAGCCATCATTGCGCTCAATCATATTTTAGGGAACTCAATAACCCAGCCCACCACGCCACCACCTGTCTGGACGTTTTAGTGAGCATAACTTAATCAAGGCTACCAACCACGTCGTAGGCAAATTAAAATAATTACATACTGTTAAATTTCAAAATTCCATATTTGTTACCTTTTTTTATGTAAGAACCTTGGATTATACAGATACAGTGTCTCCATACAAATGCTTCGAGAAAAGCGGCTCAACTTTTTCATACAATTTCACGTGATAAATAGTTACGAGCGATTCCTTTATAACTTTTTTTTTTTTTATGCAACTTAGAATGACAAACTAGCTGACGGCCCACCTGATGGAAAGTGGTAACCGTCGCCTATAGACATGAGCAGTACCATGGACATAGCAGACTATACTGTTTCACCCATGATACCCCCCATGCGTTGCCATTCCTGAGGATTCAGGTGTTATTCCTCTGTACCCTGTAAATTCACGCCATATCCCACCCTTCAAACCGAAACACAGCCATGCAAACACAACTGCTTCACGGTTGAAACACGAATGGGTCAGAGGTACCCAAGCAATCGACTTTTGTACAAAGTCTCCCTCTGGTAAACTCCTATATTAATAACTCCTATATTTATTTTGTTTTATAATTTCTGCATCTTTTTAATGCGTAAACACTCATTTTATTTATTAAACAATTAAATATAGATACGTCAAGGTGCATTGTGTGCGTAAGTATATAGAACGCTGATAAGGAAACGAGTCAGCCAACTTGACAATTAGCTGACAAACAGTTGACTCGTTTTTGAGGCACGATGCCTCTATTTATATAATTTAAGAAAAGAACATATCTGCAGAATATCAAGAATCTACATTCAGATATTTCGGCTGTGCGTTGATACCTAAGAACAAGGAATTACATAGAAGGAATTATAAAATAAAAACTGTAAATCATATGGTTGCCTCCTTTCTTCTTATGCAAATATAATTAGTAAAAAGAGAAGGAAAGATACACCGTCAGTTGCTATTTTTCTCAATTCATAGCAGGCTAGTGTATAGAAAATGTTTGATATGTCAGTTATTTGTCAATGACAAATGTTACATTACTATATTATGTATTCGACACAGTTTATGTAGAAAGTATGCGAGCAGGTTGTATCTGAATTTGGTAGGGTTATACGACCGTTCACGTAGTGCAGCGGTGCACCGCGAGCGTCGACACCAGCGAGGGCAACCTCTGCTTCCGCTGCGGATAAGAGGGCCACAGGTCCGCCGAATGCGTCGCGCCAGCTCCGAAATTCGGTGTCTGCGCCGCGGCTGGTCGGAAGGCCGACCATAGCGTAGCTGGCACCTCCAAGTGCAGCCATCCGCGAAAAGCTCAGGTGCGAGATGGCCGCGGGTGCAGTGAGACGATGGACATCTAGCAGCCTTTTACACTGCTGGGTATCCCTCGGTTCTGAAGTGGATCTTCGGGCGGCGGAAGGCGGGACACTTCCAAAGCCCAACTAGAGGTGGAGATCCGGGAGTCGGCGCGCTGCGTGTTCCCGGCGCGCCACTCGGAGTGGCCCTGTCGTGGGGTGGCGCCACCGGTGATTGGGACGACTGCAAATCGCGAGCCCCAGTCACCGGCACACGGCGCTGAAATATGGTTTTGTACAAACTGTCTTAAACGATAACAGAGGTACATATTTGCCAATGGTCGACTAGTAGAGAACACTGTCCTGTGTTAAGTCCGCCATATGTACATAAAATTTGACTGTGCGTTAAAGTTTAAATAAATAAAAAAATAAATGTTTCGCCTTATCTAAAGTCATGCAAATTTTGTCTCAGCACATGTTAGTTTAAGCCACTTTGGTTAAATTTTTAAAGTAAAAAAATTAACCAATTACAGAAATCTAAATAGTTATTTTAAAATACATAATAATTATTATAAAATATCTAAATATATATATATATATATATATATATATATATATATATATATATATGTATTATATATATTAGGCGTCAGTGTGTCACAATCCTAAGGCCGGTTAATAATAATACGAACGTACCTTGCGCGACTCTCCCCGGCAACGCGAGGGAGGGCCGCCCGCTCGATACCGACATATCGATAGGCAATTATTTCTTATCGATATACCGTTATCACATATATAGAATAGAATAAAAAATATTTATTAATAGAAAAACACAATTACAAAAGAAAATACTGTTTAAAATTAACCTTTTTACATACGATGACATTTGTAGTTTTTTTATAAAAAAGAAAAATTTATAAACAATTGAAATAGAACAAAAAAATACATACAATACTTCAAGTCAACAGACGGCAATTTTATTTCCAATTAATATAATATAAATAATAATATATAATAACAAGAACCAGCACATTTTAAATACAAGTACAAAACGTACAAAATACAATTTGTCCAAATAATAATTATTTATTTAACTCTTTATTGCGCCATAAATAAAAATATACAATGACAAGTAAATAATTCAAGTGAAATACAGTAACA